ACGAATATTCCAACGTGTAAGATCCTCGTTAAGACTTAAGACTCGTTGGGGGATGCTGGGAGACCACGCCAACCTACTAAAGGAATGTGGAGGAATGTGTCATTTCCTGTCGATAGACACTTGTGTTGCCTCGGTGACGATCGGTTGAACTTCTCGCCAGTGAAAGTGCGCTTGCCTCACGCTCGCCTGCGGTCACAAGTGCTCGTGGGCGGGCTTTATGCAACGGCACCTCGCCACGCACCGCAATTAAATCGCGTCATTTGCGTAATAGAGATATAGAGATTGATGCGACCGGCATCTACGAGGCCGGCGACACGAGGTAGCAACCCCTTTCTTGTCAACGTTTATTTCAAACTACCGACCCGCCTCGGCTTCGCATGGGAGTAATGTATCATATATACATTTTAACCTCCCTCTTGAATCATTCTATCTAGTAAAAAATAATTTTGAACAAAAATAAACCGACTTCAAACAGGAAACTAAGAACATTGTCAACACCTATAACATTTGAGGATTGCTCTCGATTTTCCTGGGATGCCATCATCAGATCCGGGTTATTATGGTACCACCCTTGGGATATCTCCTTTCATAAACGACGAAGTTATCCGCGAACACACATAAAAAAAATAATAATATATACGGTCGAATTGAGAAACCTCCTTCTTTTTTGAAGTCGGCTAAAAACCGCATCAAGATCTATCGTAGTTATAAGTCATACATAGGGACACTCAGACAGCGGGACGACTTTGTTTTATACTATGTAGTGATTTTAACTGAAATGACTTATTATAATGTGTATATTAAAGACAAGACTGGTTACATTTTCGTAAAACAAAAAAGTACAGGTGTCAAATCAGACGATCCTGTACGATTCTTCTAAAGAACGATAAAAATGATAGTGATGAAAATGATGATAAAGTGAAGTATCTTAATCTATAAGATCTTTACAACTTTCTTACCTCTATTAATCGGAATATTTTAATTGTTTTTAGTATTAATACATTAAATACATTATTTATTTGCGATCTGTATAATTGCATTTAAGTCTCAATAAATACTTTCGGCGTCTTTGGATGAGTAATAGATTTGTTATATAACTTGTTAATTAAATAATTATTTTATTATTCAATAAAAAATATACATATATTTAATAATTAAATATCCATTAAAATATTACATATATTTTTAATGAATTGCATTCATAAAATTAAGTTCATCAAATGCATTAAATGTTGCAAACACTTAAGATATGCATAAAAAAAGCAAAGTAACAGTCTATACATGTCCCACTGCTGGGCAAAGGCCTCCTCTATACAGAGGGTATCAGGGTATAGTCCACCACGCGGCCCCACTGCGGACTCACATATCTTCGAAATATATATTTTTTTGTTATTATTTCGAAAATATGCAGGTTTCCTCACGATTTTTTCCTTCAACGCGGATAAGTCAGCACTTAAAGTTAAAAACTTCATTGGTGCCGGCACCGGGATCGAACTCAGGTTGCTCGAGTGTATTGAATTAAAGGCGAGCGCCCGGACACTGAGCTACCACGGCTCACGGATAAGATATGCATGTCTATTATTTATAAATGACAATGCGCATTCCTCATACTAACTACTTTATATTAAGTTTGGGCTTGAACGGCATTTTTTTGTAAATTCCGTATATTATTGTTGCCACGAATACTCCGAGTTATGCACGGAACGCTATGATAAAGTGTTGCAGCATAAACACCCGATATGCGAAAGTTTAATAGCTGACATTTGAAAAGTTCGCCACGTAAGTGAATCTAAGCGTCATTCACGTCTTAAATGCTATAAGGTTTTGACAGGTGTTACACGAGTTCGGCAACTTGCGACGTCGGATGACTAATCCGCGAGCAACAACGGAATTCTAAGTGTAGGACAATGCATTACAGAATACAATAAAAGTCCCTGACTCTACATCGAGTTTAGCTTTTAACAACACTAAAATGACATCCTAGACTTTATATAGTGTTCATGATATATAAAAATTTAACTAGCCAATTTGTTCTCTGTGAAACTTTGAATAAACGTATAAATGACCTATTTATTTCTTCGAAGTTTTTACCGATCAACAGAAACTTCAAAATTAATAAAATTCACACAGTCAGCCTTATGCAGTCTGTTATAGCCGATTTTTGAGCCTTTTACCAAGGAGCTTTTCTTTTTTTATTTCTAAATAATTTTAATATTTTTGTAAATTTTTTGTTCTTTAAACAATAGTGTTAATATTCTTTTTAAGTTATCTTTTTTCATGTTTGTTTAAACATGAAAAAAGGTAACTTGAAAAGAATATTAACACTTAAAAATACTGTACATTTTTTTCGTTTTGGCAATAAACGATTGTTATAGGCAATAAACGGATATTCATTTATTTTCTCGTTTGGTTGGATTTATAAATAAAAATATAGATATAAATATTATTATTATTGTTACTAAATTACAGTAAATGATTGATTTATTATTTATTGTTGTATTATTATCATTAAAAAATTTGGTATATACTCTTTATTTAACACATATAGCTATTGGAGTTATACGTCTGAATTTCGATAACGTTCTAATGTAGGCCATCATTTCTCTCAAAATTGCGTAAAATTATATTAGAGAAATAAATGCAATAAAAGATCTGTAGCAATCAAACATAAATATATTTAATTATAACTCACGCGAATATGAGATTCTTTGTAGACGAACAAAATAAAGAAAAGACGATCTCGGCAAATATTACATATTCTAATGGCACTGGGTCAAAGTGAAAGAAAGCAATGCCGTGTAGTGATGACACAGTTAGGTTTCGTTCGCTGTCTGCTATAATCGATGAAACATGCGATACGTGGGTCTAAGGAATCCTAATGGCTGTGAATTCTCGCGTGGGCATGTTTATGCTTGTATGCAACCGTTTCGAATCTCTCATTTAAAACATTCCTTATTTTCTGGCGATTATAATTTTTTTTTTTTAATGTGAAAGTTGCCAATGAGCAGATAGTTCACCTGATGCTAAGTGAATACCACCGCCCATGGACATCTGCTACACCCGAGGGTTACAGATGCGTTGACAACCTTTTTAAAATTGGGCTCCGGCTATCTCACTTACCAGACGAAACGTAAAAGTATTTGTTATACGTCCACTTTACGCCGATCTTCTGTGAGGTTATGGTACTTACCCGGACGAGCCTGTTGCGTGGCTTTACCACCTTAAAAATTTAAAACGTTTGCATTGTAGTATTTAGTAATTATTTAAAAGTATACTTTTTAATAACTATGCCAATCTCTGCGATTTGTTTAAATTAATTTTACTTTTAAATTAAATTTCACACGCAAAATCCTCCCTTTAATCTGGTTCGAACTTATGCGAGTCAATTATCATAGTGAACTTAGTATAGCCGATTCTGTCAGTTTAAACACTGTCTCGTGACCATGAACCCAAGAAAGGGTTCGAATGGTCGGGAATTACAAATAAAACCGCGATAAATTCCGTAAACTAGTTTCATTTAATATGTATAACATTCGCGTTAAATCAAGAAGTCAATTCTTTTATACTTGGTTTTACAGATTTTTTAATATTTAGAAATATTTCAATATAATGTCTTCTAGAGTTCGTTGATGTCTTTATTAGGAAATATCATTATGGATGATACCGAAACTGCTTAATTTAAATATTTCACTGAACAATGCCCATTTGTCCGTGAATTAAGTCTATTGTTTAGTTATTTTTAAATTGAATTAAAATGTTTAAGAGACTGTAATATGTGGTAATTGCAAGCAGTCTCTCCCTCTAGGCACTTTACTTAAACTCCGTGCATCTCACTACATTCCCACACATCAACGAATAGGATTCATATGTGGGAGGATATCTCGCCATTATTAATAAGCTGAATGATTGTACTGTTTTAAGTTTCATCGTATCAGTAAGAGAGTTAAAAGAACAAGCTGAAAAAGATGAATTATCATATTTATTATTATTGTTATTGACCTTTTATCTAACATATAGAGCGGTTGTGTGTTCACAGATAATATAACCTAATAAATATCGTCGAAAGAAATTTAATAAATGCATTTGATGAAGTTAATTATTTTCTAGATGATATGGCAATAAAACTACACCCATTTCATTCATATGTTTATTACAAAAAATATAACAACAAATCAACAAAGAATCGCGGATGACTTAAAAGATTATAAAACCTTAAAGACTAGTTAACATTATACATATAATTAATAAAGATGGCAAATGTAAGTTTTAAGCATTGGCAATAACAAAAGTTTCGTTTTCACAGTATGAAAATAAGCACAGAAAAGTTATTTACATAAAAGAAATAATAACATTAGGTAAATTCACGAGGTCAAATAAACCTAATCTATAAAGATATCAAATGGCATACAGTGTTGGAAGTAATATCATATGTGTCATGTCACTCTTTGTATGTTAATCTCGGTCTAAGATTGCTGCCAACTATCGACGTTAAATCATTACAGCCTTTTCAAATGCAAATCAATCTGAGCTTTGTGAATTCCGATATTGAAAACTAGAGGAGTGGAATATCGAGGGGATCGGAGAATGCAAATATATGTGTATTTATTTATGTATAAATGTATTTACATATTATGTTTAAAAGATCCCTTATTAATTAAATTATTTCAAATAATAATATTTAGTGGGATCTATTTGTAACTGAATAGTGGACTTACTTATAATACAAAAACGGCACAACATTACAAATATATTAAAGTAACTGTTATTTTATGTTATTCGCGCAAAAATGGAGGTAGATAGAAAAAAAAATTATGCAACTTTGCACGTATTTTTCTGGATTTACATCAATAAAGAGAGACTTAACTGTTTTATTGCATAAAAAAAATAGAAAGCAGAACTAAACTAAAATTTAGTTCAAATAAATCGCAAACGATCATATCTTTCTTCTGCTCTAGGAAAAATGTAATTTTTGGTTTGGTACTTTGTTATTTGTATGATTACTTATGGTAGCCGGCTTCGATTGGGCTACCCTGTGCCGGGGAAGCGTGGTAGGCAGCGTGCTGCAAGGCAGCTGTATCATATTGCTGATAGGCATGCGCCTGGTGCGGGTCCCTGTACTGGCCTGTAATTAAAAACGATTTTTTTTGGGTTCCGTACATAAAGGGTAAGGCGGGACCTCATTACTAAGACTCCGCTGTCTGCCTGTCTGTCCTTCTGTCACCAGGCTGGATCTCATGAACCGTGATAGATAGGCAGATGATGTATTTCTGTTGCTTCTATAGCACCAAATATAGAATAAAATACAGAAAAAAAATATCAAAGTAGTAAAAGTGGGGCTCCCACTATATATTATAACTTTTTTTGCCGTTTTTACAGATACACGGAACCCTTCGTGTGCGAGTCCGACTCGCACTTGACCGGTTTTGTGAATTGGTACAGTAGTACTTTAGTGCTAAAGTACATTACTGTAATCGTTAAGGTAGTCTTTTTTATGAAAAATTGAATACCGCCGCCCATAGACATCTGCAACACCTGTAGGTTGGCAGGTGCGTTGGCAACCTTTAAAGAAGTGGGCCCCGGTTACCTCACTCACCAGACTCCCACTTTACGCCGGTCTTTTGTGAGGTCGTGGTACTTCCCCTACGGAGTTCTTGCAACAACAGCACGTTTCGTGGCCCCACCGAGGTTATGTATAACTCATTTCTGCCTATTCTCTTAGAGTTGAATGTCGGACGTAATTCAATAATTTCTGTAGATCAATTTAAAACGGCCGACTCACCGTCATCGAAAATCCCATTGGCCTCGTCCTTGGCGTTCTGCTCCAAGGATCTCAGGATGGCCTCCGGGATTGGCGGTGGGGTCGGCAGGTGGGCGCCGAAAGCTCTGAAACCGTTCTCATCGGCGGTGTAAGTTACGGTGTACACGTGGCCGTCGTCGCCCGCGTAGGAGAAACCGCCCTCTGCATGGGTCCCTTTTGGTGTTTGGCCGACTTCTTGGGCCTTTATACCTGGAATTGAATTGGGATTGACATTATCAAAATTGTTTCATCATCATCATCCTCCTGCCCTTATCCCACCAAGGGCACAAAATGTGAATCATGTTGTAAGTCGATTTGGCTAGGTGTTTTACGACCAGCCAACTGCCTGACGTCGTTGAGAAATATTATTTCTCGGTCACATTGGGAATTGAACCCACGACCCCCGTCACAGAAGCCAACAGCTTAGCGAATGCGCCACAGACTCATCATAATTGTTTATTTTCATCAATGTCTGCTAAGTGCTAGTCTGGTTTGAATACCGGAAGCACGATTTAATGAAAGCGTTTTTTTTTTGACTCTGCGATTACACACATTAATATGAAACCTTCGTGGTTAAAAGACACATTGCTGCAACCACGTATTTCAACTCTTTATGTGCTTGAGCAAAAGGAGTCCAAAAGAGATTTAATTAATTAATAATTAATAATTAAAACTCTTTTCTTTTAAGTTATATATAACTTTATGCGACTTTCAGCAGCACAATATTTCCCTTAATTTTTCTATTCAGGTATGTTTCAGCTGATCCAAATGTATGAACGATCAGCAGAGGTACCTTTTTTCTTTCATCAGAACTAGAAACAGTTCTAAATAGATCGTTTTTTTTTTGTAACTTCAATTCGTCATATATAAATGAATATGACAGGAAGTATAACACAGAAAGAGATAGCAGTCTATAGAATTGCAATTTAATTACACTAAATAGTGTAATTTGAGTGCCTCAGTTTCGGTGCGCTAGTATCATATCTACCACGTATTTGTTTGTAATATCATTGTATTTCAGGTATCATAACATAAAAACATAAGAACAAAGCACAAGAGCACGACCTATGCTCACCATTTTCAGTCTCGTAGCCGTAGTTGTAGTTGTGAACGTTGTTTTCCGAGTGGTAGCTGATAATCCTCGCCGTCTTCTCGGCTAGCGGTCTTCCCTGGTACACCGTATGCTGTGCAGCGTAGGCGGGCTCTGCAAAAGCCCCCTGTTGGTACTCTGGCGCCGGATGGAGTGCTTCCTGTGCACTCTGGTAGTTCTCGACTTGCTGCTGACTGTACAGCTGCCCTGCAGAGGCGAAGCCCACTAAGGCGGCAATTGCGGCTATCTGAAATGGCGGATACAGAGAATTAATAGTGTAGAATATATTAAATTAATACAGTAGTGTGAATACATTAAATTAATAATTGAAGGTAGCCGGGGTTAACTATGACATCGAGACGTATAACAACTTAGTCTGTCCCGTGACCATGAACGGCCATGTCGGCAAATTCAAATCAAAATAAAAACGTGATAATATCCGTAAACTAGTTTCATTTAATATGTATAACATTCGCGTAAAATCAAGAAGTCAATAAGTGTAGAATATAATAGTAAAGTATTAAATATGTAAAAAATCAGAAATATCTTTTTAATAATAGTAACATAATAATTCGATTCACGTGTAATTAATCTTTTACGTGTTTCAAACAAAATCAAAAAATTAATACCAAAAGAATTTAATTATACACCAGAAAACGTACCAATTTCATGATTGCACTATATTTGAATGCTCGAGATGTTTAAACAACGAATGCGAAGAAAAAATCTCGCACTTCAGTTTTTATACTCTAAATTGCCTTTTACGCACAGTCGTATGAAATCGCAATTCTGTTATTTGTAAAGCGACCACGAGAAGCGTGGACTTGATCCAAATACCCGTTTAGAACAGAAACATTAGATATGTAAATAATTATATATATATATATATAATATATATATTCAAATAAGTTGAGACACGATTGTAATTTTTTGTTTCTTAAGTTAAAAAATAATTTAAGAAACGATTTTTTTTTTAATTTAACATTAGTATTATCTTATATCATTATTGACATAAATTTGTTTTATTAATTTTCGTTTAGATTAAACTTCTCATCTAGTACAGGTTTTACTTAGACTGGCAGGATTAGCAAAAAAAATCATTTAGTTCAAATAATAAACTTTACTAAATAATTTAAAATGATTTAAAGTTTATCATATCAAAGACTAAGACGCATCAGTAACAGGTTGGTAATCACAATATTTCAAATTCTCCAATCATTTAAATGTTTTCTAATGAAAAACTGGATGTCCTAACTGGTGTCATAACCATACGAAAATGTTTAATAGTACATTTTTTCTTTTTTATGTGAAAACTTGGCAAGTGAGCAGGTGGTTCACATGGTGTTCAATTGATAAACGCCGCCCATTGATATTTAAAACAGCTGACGCGATATATATGGGCTGCAAACCACTAAAAAAGTGGACCCCGAATACCTTACTCACTAGACGAAATGCGCAAAATGCGGCCGTAGTACTTTGCCATTCGACCCAACGACGGCGATGGGCCCACATACCACAATTTTAACTTTATCTTTAAACATGTTTCCAAATAGTATGTTCTTTATTGATATCAAATACTTGTCCGCTATTTTATTTCGTTTATAGCATGTAAATACCTTTACTAAAAATATTAAATAATGTTAATGTGACAAGTTCTGAGTTTTAGTGTTCAGTTAATGTGATTCTTGTGTGAGTGTATAGTTAAGTAATCTGAGGTAACGAGATGCTCCCATTGACTGAACAAGTAGAACGGATTTTGGGTGGGCAGAGCTATTATAAAATAGACAGATTAAAACTTAAACAAAATGATCCAATCTGCATAATTTTTACTTACCAACGTGGTCAAGTATTATATTTATTAATACTATATAATTATACCATAAATTATAAATATTCAAAACCTTTTTTCAAACAAATTTCAAAACCTTATTTTAAACCAGCATTTTATAACTAAAGCTGTTGCTTTTTTATCAGAAATATAGTTGTTTAGTGCTTCCTTTTTCCATTGTATTTAATTCAGTTGCTGTTAAGTGACCTGAGTTGAATTCTCGGTGCAAAGAGAAATTTTGAGAAAAAAATCTTTTCTTTTTAATAGTGGTACTTATATCATAAGGTGTTTTAAATCCGCATATTTTTTGTCTCACCATCGTGTTGGCGCTGGCAACACTGTATACCGGATATGACGTTATCTACTTGAGCCAAGGGACACATGGTCGCATGCAAAACGTTAGAACTCTTATAATCGGTAAATTTATTAATTGCGTACATATGGAATAAAATTTTTAGTAAAAAAAAGAAAAGAAAAATCAAAATAAGAAAAAAACAATGTGAAAACGGGATGTCGATATTGTATAGTAATTAGTATTAGTTGATAATTTTGGGTACTAGTACAAATTATCCTATGTAGTAGTAGTAGTAGTAGTAGTAGTAGTAGTAGTAGTAGATAAAAAATATATGTAAAAATTAATAATAACTAAAAAAATATTTGGAAATTAAAAAAATATTTGACGTCTCTATTAGTTCTTCGGTCTATGCCAATATCAGCTCTTACAGTTTCATAATAATAAGATGGTCACTATAGCCTCGAAGTAATAACAAGATCGGAAATTTTGTGCGACAAATTCTTAACATCCGGATTCAAAAAGAATTATATTTAAATCAAAGTAAAAAAAATCTACAAAGTCTACATCAAATCAGTATACAGAAAGGTAATAAAATGTCGATTGTATTTATTTACAGAAAAGCTTTATTTACGAAATGGATTTTATTTCATTATAATCAATCTGGATATTAGCGTTGATGTTTTCGTTGGTGACGACATACTGAATTACTTAAAACACGATTTAAAATTTGTATTATTGAGTATGAAAAATATTAACTAAGTCATGTTTTGAATTTTTTGATAGACGTCTCTTCTGAAAATCGGAACACTTTAGAGAAGTCTTATTCGAAATTTGATACTTCTTTTTTTTTTTTTCTTTTCTTTATAATATATTTTGATTGTCAATCACAGGCTAGCCTCATTTTAAGATGTCAAAATTAAAAGTGCATGCTATCCTGGGTTACTTGTGGCTCTGGAAGTTAAACTAAACTTAACTAAACTAAACTGAACTAAACTGAACTAAACTAAAACCCAGGGACGATTGACTAGAGCCCATACCACAATTCTGATGGTACATACAATAAAATACTGGGAAAGTAAAATTATAGTCTTCAAGCAACAAATAATATTCGGTAAAAATTCCGAACAGTACGTCTCGTTTTTCAAGCTAGAAAAAAAATTTAATCGATAGAGAAATGTTAATAATTAAATATTACATACATGAAAACCAAGGCAAACACTTACTTTTAATAAAAAAATATTTAAAACTTGTTATTTTCACTAAATAAATCCGCCATTTTGTGTTTGACAACATGTATAAATTTACAAATTCACACACTTTTCCAAATTATAACCTTCACATTATTAAAAAAGAGTCTTTAAAAATACTAAAAGTACTGTTACACTAAAGTTTTCTGGGTGGTCATAAAAAAAGAACCTAACAACGAAGGCTAAGGCCGGAGCTTCGCTCCCGCCTTAACCTTCTAACCTAAACTATCCGAGTCGGATCGCTCTGTGTCGGATCTGTGACACATTTTGAACCTAATATTCGAGACATTAAGTGTACACTAAGCGACAAATTTTAAATTTTAGAAATTGTTAATAATACATGTTCATGAAATAGAAACTTGTGTTTTTGTGATATATCTGTGTATTTGTGTCTTCTTACAACGTAAAAAGTGAAAACGTAAGTTTTTAACTTAAAATACTAGTCTATAATGAATAATGGACGCACAGTAATGACGGATTTCAGTTGTATGAAATTTAAAAACTTTGTTAATTTTTTCCTCATAATCTAATGGTTTTCATTGATTATAACTTATATAATATTTAGTTATTAACATTTCTCTATAGATTAAAATTTTTTTCTAGCTTGAAAAACGAGACGTACTATACGGAATATTAGCCCAATATTCTTTAAGTTGTGCAATTGGTATCTGCTATTGGTACATTAGTGGGAGATCGGTGCTTATCTTAACATCGAGAATTAAAAGGTAAATTGAGTCATTATCTCGTAAGCTATAACATTTCATCATCTATATCTTCATCACCCAGGGTATTGCAATATTATAAAAAATTAAGTATATTTTGTGTATTTATAAAGTAATTTAAATTGATTAAAGTCTCAAATAAGACTTTTATATTTACATCTCAAGATGCTGACACTATTGCAACCCACGCTAATATCTCATTTAATACGTTTTGTAACTCTCCATTATGTTGCAAACATATTGACGTGGTCTAAATCTTTTAACATACATATATTCCATATTTGCTGTATGTCTGCGCTGAATATCGTAATCTAAAAGTCGTTAAAACAGTGTTATTTAGCTATCTTCTTACTTCCCTATAATTGTTTGTCGAGCACCTGTACTGTAATGGCGTACTATTTCACTGTACAAGAGTATAATTAGGTAGTCGAAACTGGAGGTATGTTTAAAATGTGTTCATTGTCTCTGGCAATATCCAAACAATGCTTCATCCGATGCTAGGGTGAGAAACAATGGACAATTAGTGATACATGCATACAGAGTAAGTTGTAACAGAGCATATGTTCTATATGTATTGACATTTATTTGTTATTTTTTTAATCACGAAACTAACCACTGCGACTAGGTTATACTATATTACACCAGTAGTACGTGGTGATGCAGTCGTTGTTTGTGAACACGACGGAAAAAATATCATCTTTCTTGTCTTATAATAATTACATTGTAATCGGATGATAAGAAGGCGACTTGCACTCGTTTTCCTTTTGTGTTATTTATGAAAGATACGGCAAGTCTGGTCACGGGACAGACTGAGGTTTAGACATTAAAAACAACCATAGCAATCTATGCAAGGGAGCTAATTGTATCTTGTTTGCAGTAGTGGTTCGTTTGGTAGTACCCAACCTTCTTCTCTATTGAAATTAGGGTGTTTTTTAATTTCAATAGCCTCGCGAATCATCCTTGGGAGGAATCGGTGTTCTTTTGCAAGGATCTGTGGTTTGTCAAACCTGATGTAGTGGTTGGGTCTATTCAAAATGTGCTCACAAACTGCAGACTTGTTCAATCTATTGTGTTTGATGTCAGCTATATGTTCTTTCACGCGGGTTTTTTTTGCTCTTTTCGTTTGACCTATGTAAGAGAGCCCACATTCACAGTCAAGGGTAGTCGCTCCACTGTGGCTGGTTTCACTCGGTCACTGTGACGTAGGCGCGGTGCTCGAAGCTTGTTGTCATGCAGAACTTGCTTGACATGTTGAAGCTCAGCGGCCAGGTGTTGTTTGTCACAGATCCCTTGTGCTCTCTGAAACAAAGATTTACCCACGGTAGCACGTTAGGTAGGTTTAAAATTAAAAATCCACCAGTAAATCCGTAAAATTAGTTTCATTTATAATGTGTACACAAATACAAATATTAGATATTAGTTTATTTGTTAGTGTTTCTTTTTTGTACAACGAATAGAAAGTCCAAATGAGTTCTTTTTTTATCTATATCCAGTGATAAAAAAGTGTCAAACTTTTCAATCCTCTTTGAGATATGTTATACATTTTTGATATATGATATTTTCCATCTCATAGTGTGACGACAGACTTTCGACAAATTGATTCAGTATTTTCCTAATATCTTTGGCAAAGATACCTTTGTAATACGATTTATGAAGCATTCTTGGTAGCGTTAGTTAATATAAATTTGGTAGATAAATTTTTTAACCAGAAATTTCTTCTCTCTTTTTTTGCCTTTGTGAAATCTGTTTCATGTGGAGAGGGAGTAACGCCTTATTTCTTAAAGAAATTAAAAAATATATGTATATTTTTGCAACCTCTGCCAATTTATTAATCTATAAAGCTGCAAGATTTGTGGTCGGGTATAATAATTACCTGCGGGTATTACGATTAATAAGAATTTAAGTAGCTACCATGATAACAATCTTAATAAGAACACCGAATATTTTGTAATCGTAACGGCATAAAAATTCCATGTACGAAAAACAGTTAAATCTTGGTATTCACAAACATAACTAACGTATTAAAACATTTAAAGAATAAGAAACAACAAATAATATTTTAGTAAATATGATATAAAACAAGTAAATATTATTGTTTATTGTTATAAAATGGTGTATAATTGTAACTGGTTGAAAACGTTTCATTCATCCTTTTGGAAACTAGACTTTGGCTTACACTTTCGTCTGCTGGATACGTTTTTATCTGTTAAGTGAATATCGCCTCACGTGGACATACTACAACACCTGAAGGCATTATTAAAGCGGGACCCGGTTACCTCACTCACCAAAAACGCGGAAGTATTATACTTCCACTTCACGCTAGTCTTCTGTAAGACTTTGGTGAGACCTGGACGAGCCTCCCCATTCGTGCAGCAGTAGGTGCCACACTTATTACCTTAGTGGGCCTTCATTTATAAAAGTAAAGTAAACTGTATTTCATGAATAATTCTATTAACTGTTGTACGGCCATGCAACAGACTTCACTGTTGCATGAGCGGGCAGGTCCGTCCGGGGAAGTAGCACGACCTCACAGAAGACCGGCGTGAAGTGGAAGTATAATACTTTCGCGTTTCGTCTGGTGAGTGAGGCAGCCGGTGACCAATTTTTACAAGGTTGTCAACACATTTACAAACGCTCGGGTGTAGCGGATATCCATGGGCGGCGGTATTCATTTAGCATCAGGTGAACTTGCCTGCGCGCTTGGCATCTTTTTACATAAAAAAAACTGGAACAGCACCACAATGAATACAAACAATAAGAGAAAAATACAAAATCCATTTATTGCGTAAAAAGAGTACCTATACAACCTTATGCTAAATGTTACAATGGCACGTTAGTTCATTCAACGAAGCTTCGCGTCTAGTAGTTTCTGTAAGCGGCGAGGTTGGGCCTGTAGGGGTTGTAGCGGTTGCGAGCTGCCACTACGCTGGGGGCCGAGTATTTGGCGTCACGATAACTGCCTGCAACCAAAACGAAAGTATTCCTAAAATTATCGTACTCGCTGCCGCTTGGGTTAATCAAAATCAGGTTGGGTTCAAAAAAGTATCTTCACATATTCAAATAACATAATTTGATTTGTTTACGTATAATCATCTTGATTACTCCGTGACGCAGTTGTCAACGTATTGGCTTCAGCGGCGGGGGTCGTGGGTTCGATCCCCATACGGGACAACTATTTGTGTGTGACTCACAGATAGTTGTTTCGCATCTTTGTGTTTGTCCACGTGAAATGTATGTTTGCAAGACGTCCTGTAAGGACACAGGACAATTTTATGCTAAAGTAAGGGCGATGTTTTTTAAAAAACGAAAAATTTCATCAATCATCATCCTCCTGCCCTTATCCCATTTAGATGGGGTCGGCATAAATCATGTTTACAATGTGTGAATCATGTTTTAGGTGTTTTGGCTAGGTTTTTAAAGACCATCTGCTTGCCTGACGTCTACCCTCCTTGGGAACAAATACTCAGATACGGAACAATTATCGTTATGACATACAAATACTTGTCCCGTGTGAACATCCAACCAACGAACCCCAGCGCTTAAGCCAATAGCTTAACAACTGCTCTACCGAGTCATCAAATAAGCAGTAAGTCATAAATGAAATAAACCATTTTTTTATGTGAAAAAGTGGCGAACGAGCTGGCGGTTCACCTGATGTTATGTGATAACCGCCGCCACCTCAGTCACCGGACGAAACGCAGACGTAACACTTCTACGTTACACCGGTCTTCTGTGAGGTCGTGGTACTTACGCGGACTGACCTGCCCATTGCGCAACAGTGCAGTGAAAACTTAAACACCTGGTGATAAGTGAGCATCGACTTACCATCGTCGAAAATGCCGCTGGCCTCGTCCCTGGCGTTCTCTTGCAATGCCCTCAAGATGGCCTCTGGGACCGGTGGCGGCGTGGGCAGATGGGCCCCTTGCGGCTGGAAGCCGTTCGAGTCCGCTGTGTACCTCACGCTGTACACCTGGCCGTCGTCACCCACGTAGGAGTACGCGCCCTGGGCCTGGATCCCGTCAGCCTCGCGGCCGTTCTCCTCGGCCGCGATGCCTGCAAACGCCAATTTGGGCTTTAAAATATTTGAGATAAGGTAACTTATGGAATGACAATATCAGTATTTAAAAATTGTACAAAAGTACGAAATGATTGTCGCCGTTGTGCGCGGCCTCACGCTTTAGCCACTAAGCTAAACGGCTACTACTGGATTTGGGCTATCACGGAACCTGGCGAGACAAAACTAATAAAATCAATAATTTATGGGTTTAAATTAAAAGACGAAGCTAATTTATTTAAGTAATGTAAAGGATATTCCTACAGAAAATAACATGTTGCGCTTGAAATGACTCGATATTCATCGGATTATTTAACAGGTTGTAATTAAATTCAGTTTTTTTTGAACAATAAAAGTACTACGGCTTGGTTATTCAAAGTTCAATTGAATTTTTTAGTGTGAATTCACATTTAATTCCTTGAAACGTTATTGTCACAATACGTAGGGTCTCAGAATTATCAGAAATAATGAGAATTAAAAATGCGACTTTAAAAACGGTTGTGATGACGGTTATTTGATAAAAATATTCATTCATGGTTGTTATATTAAACAATAACATAATAAATATTGCTAAAAATCCTTACTAATATTATAAAGGCGAAAGTTTATATGTATGGATGGATGTTTGTTACTCTTTACAAATACTACTTAATGGATTTTAATGAAACTCTACAATAATATAGCTTATACATCAGAATAATACATAGGCTATAATTTATATACTTATTTTTATGTATATCAATCTTTCTGACTGAATGTTACGCCTTCAGCCCTAACTTTGTCCCTAATATTATTATTTATGTGTATGTAAGTTTGTTTGTTACGCTTTCACGCCAAAACTACTCAAACTGAGTGGGAATCTCAGTTAATCAGTCAAATGAATACAGCGATCAATCGATCACAATGTCTTCTTGCATTTGAAAAGCTTAGTTTAATTCTTATGTAAGATTAACATATGTAAGCTTATTAATTAAAACTTATAAGTAATATGCATTTTTAATTAATTATTTACACTATTAATTAAACTGTAAAGTATATTTCAATCATACTAACATGATGAAACTGTGATTTAGTGTGAAAAAGCTTTAGTTTCTATATTAATTTCTAACTTAGTCGATTAAAATATGCAAAATCAGCTACGGTGTGAAAGGCAATGCTTCAATACTTATTAATCGTAAATAAATCGTAATGAATGCTAGTCGTAGTAATACGCGTAGACAAATCTTATAATTAAGAATAGTATTATCGATGTAATCTTTGATAGAGTATTTGTAACAAGCATGAGGTTCGTAAGCAAGAAAATTTATACACGTCCCGATATTAGATTAGAACCAATAAGTGTGAAACATAATTTATGTCCTCCAATCCAAACGTGGGTGCGGTTTGTAATTAGAAAACCTCTGTATGGAGGTTGAAGATAGCTGACACGAAGATACTATGAGATTAATTGAAGTATTTCCATACGAATAGATTTCGACATTCTCTAAAGTATTTCTAGTGATAAGTCATTAGAAACTGTTGTTTGATTCAGAAACGGATAAATAAAACAATAGAAACATGTAACAGGCACACCACAGGAGTCTAGTTACTATTAGTCGATTACCATTCGATTACCTAATAGTGAGTGAGTTTATTATGTTCTAATAAATGCCTTTTTGTTACTTAATGGATGTGCAATAAATAAATAAATAAGTAAATAAATAAATAAATAAATAAATAAATAAATAAATAAATAAATAAATAAATAACTAAATAAATAAATAAATAACTAAATAAATAAGTAAATAAATAAATAAATAAATAAACAAATAATAAATGTGGTAGGGCCACACTACAGTCTTCGCTCTTACACAAACGGACAGGTTCGTCCGGGTGAATAGGCACGGAAGATCAGCGTGAAGTGGGAGCGTTATACTCCCGCATTTTGTCTGGTGAGTGAGGTAGCCGGGGTGCGCTTTATTAAAAAGTGGCAACGGATCTGCAACCCAGCGGGTACTGCATATGCCAATGGGCGGCGGTTATCACTTAATTCTAGGTGAACCGCCAGTTGTTGTCCATCACCACTCATAAAAAACTGATAATTCGGCGTACAGAAGTTTGTCAATGAGCCGGGAGGATTTGCACGTACCGTTTTCCGTCTCGTAAGCGAAGCGGTAGCCTTGCTCGTTAACTTCGGAATCAGACCTCAGGATAGCCGCGTTCCTCTCCAACGCAGCCCTTGGCCTGGGGTCCTGGTAGTAGCGGTACTGCTGGTTGTACGGCGGGAGAGCGCCAGCGGCGCAAACCCCGATGAAAGCGGCTATTATGATCTGGAATTGAAAATAATTCTTACATATATAAAATTCTCGTGTGATAGTGTTAGTTTCCATACTCCTCCGAAACGGCTTGATCGATTTTTGTGAAATTTTATATGTATATTTGGTACGTCTGAGAATCGTTTGTAATCTACTTTTCATACCCTTTAGTTTATAAGGATGGTCAACCAAAACATTTTTTCTACCCTACAAATTCAAAACATCGTTTACCGGGACAGCCAGTGATTTTATAAAACCCAAAAACAAAAGGCTAAATCTATTCCGAAATAGATCGATGGAGCTTATTTTGTGAAATCTTTTCTATTTATCAAGGCAGCCGCGCATCGAGCACAAGTGAGGAACGGTCACATTGCACCTATAGAATCGAAAGGGATCTCCTAGACGCATGCCTACGGGGTTCAATTTGTTGATCGTTAGAGGTACCAGATTCCTTGAAACTTCACTGCTAGGTCGACTATATGGACGAATTGAATAAAGCAAGTGAAAAATAAAAGTTAATTAAAACAATCAACCCTTCAAGTAGTTATTTTTGTTGAATATAAATCGAGCAAGAAATATTGTAAAATATCACGTTTACGTTAGTAAAAATAAAATTAAGGTTACTTTCCTTTGTTGTTCATCGTCAACAATGTAACTTAAATAACACCAAAATTAAATCAGTTTTTGAAAATGCTAATACTAAAAGAATAAATAGGTCGAGTTATACAATGTCGAAAAAATATTATTGCAAGAAAAAATCATTTTTCAATAATCGTTGTCTTCTGTTACTTATATAACCGTTATAAATAGTACACGAATTATAAAATTTTCACGACACAATGGGTGAAGCAATTCAATAGAAAATTGAACCAAATCGTGATGAACCCGACAACACCGTAACTAGTTCTGACGATTTCTAAAGACGTACCAATTTCATGTTGTTATCTCTCCAAATATCGATCGAAGAATGTTGGTTCAGGCGCTAGGCCCGGCTTATATAGGTGCCTGATTTGACTGATGCCAGTGTCAAGGTCGTAGGAACTCTAGTTACGATACATCTATATGATGTCTGTAAAACAGTGACGTTCACGGGTAAAGAGATACAAAATCCACGGGTTTAACACCGTATAGTCAATTGCCTTAGTGGCTCTTTTGCCGAAGTTCTTGAGATTTTTACTTGGTATTTGAAGTCGTGGGCTCGATTTACAAAGGAAAAAAGCATTTGTTATTGATATTTTTTTTTTTCGATCTATTTGTGTTTGTGCACTCTGAATGCATCGATAATCCGATATTACGGTGTCGATAGCGTTATTTTCCAAAATATGCTCTACACATTTTTCTACGCTAAAGTGGATCGATGTAAATGGAATAATTGCAAAATGCTGTTTGCGACAACTATGACACTGTTATTGTAACTTGAGTCTCATTCTAATAGAACCTTAAATGATAATTTTGCGACATAATTTACAACATACAGTTGTATGAGCTACATGGTGGCTAACACAAATGAATGATCGAAAAGGTTATCTGTCGGCTGTATCCATTTCATATTTGAGCTTTTACTGTAACAACTTGTGAAGAAAGAAAACGTTAACAAACGAAACGTCAAAAAGATGACGTCACGTGTAGATAAAATCATCAGTGATATAGCACTATGGTATACTACTGATGATTTTATCGTCGTCTTAACGCTTGGCTTGGTTATTGCTACCTTACTGGCTTCCGTAACTCGGGTCGAGTCCATTTCCAACTTGGGGCAGGTATTTAATTAATTTGTCGTCACGTTATTTTGAGACACAATTTGTTTCCAACCCTTCAAAATGCAAATTTTATACTTAAACAATTTCGTGTAGTTATATAAAGAAAGATAAAAAGGTAACAACAAGACCGCAGAGTGTCTAGGTTTTTATCTGTACAGGTCTACTTGAAATAAGCTTGTATTGAATAAATAAATTTTAATTTAAAAGAGTACACTTAACTTACTTCACTCATGGCTAAATAAAAAGTGGAACAATTTCTCTTAAAGTCTATATTTTGTAAGGGCCTCGTCTTCCTTATTCCTACGATCCTGCACATTCGTACAAAAGCTGCTGCATGGTCCCACCGTGATCACCACGACAATGTCATCACCACCTAAGACCATCCATAACCCAAGCTTTGCAGGATTCGTGAACAGAGTTGATCTATAATTAAAGTCTATTATTGACTTTCAGCTCAGTGGACACTTTAATCACCAACTGACGGTATAGGACAAATGTAATATTATGATTAAACATACAATTCAAAGGCTAACAAAACTCCAATCCAAAAAAAAGTTCTGTAATCTTCATATACGAGTGTGAATATAAATAAAAGATCCTACTACCAACTGCAACGGAACGTGGTAAGCGCATTGCAATGGCAACCAAAAATTTCTATCACTAAACTTAAATAAGTATTGCTAGTTCGGATCTAAGACGTACTTTCCGTCTTCTTAAGATTTCATCGTACAGGCTTGTCCAAATATGCCAATATACATGAGATTCTTTTAAGGTATAACCTTGTTGGAAAACTCTATACTGCGCACGTGAAAGATTCTTCCCGAGCTACAAATATGTACAAGACAAGATTAGCGCGCCAACTTTTAATGCATGAAATAATCTTTACTCGACACTGTACATACCAGTCAGGCTGATAAATCTTGGTAAAATAATAGTTCAACATCGTATTAAACATTAGTCGGATGATTCTACATAACGCTAAGATCAGGAACTCATAAAAATCCAGAGCGCACGTGCATTATATATGCATGCATGTATTAAATTACACAATTTACATGTTAGAAAACGGCTAACTTAGTTATGAAAAACATTATAAAAAACTAGCTGTGCATGCGACTTCGTCCACGTGGAATTTAAAAGAAATAAAATTTCTAAAAATAGAAGTAACCTAAGTTATTCCTTATTACATTAGCTATCTGCCAGTGTCCCGGCTAAATTCCGGTCAAAATTTGTCCATCCGTTTCAGAGATTAGTCGAAATAAAAAGACAAAAACTGTAAATAATATTATTTTGGTATATGCACATTACATTATACATACGTTTAGTAAAATCATTATTTTAATATTACAAACAGACACTAGTTTTATTTATCTGTATAGATTTATTGTCCGATTCATTGTTTTAATATTTGATAAGTATTTTAGAGGCAAACAGATATATAGGTATCGTGAATGATTGGCCACAGCATCTGGGAAGATGTATTTTGCAGCGCTTGGGGTTATGAGATGCAGCATTTTTGGTGTTCATAGAGTCCTATAGCAACGCGGCATTAAATATGAATGAAAATATTTATATATACTATCCATAAGTATTCCTTTAAACAGTTATCCTATTTTCCTTATCATCATCATTTAAGCCTGTTTAAGTTCACTTCTGAACATCGTCTCCTCAACAAGCAGTGAAACACGACTGCACATCTGCATCTATTCACTTCCCACACCTTAATATAATATATTATAACGAAATAAATTATTTGTACATACGTTGTACTGCCACACAACAGTCTTCAACTGTTGCACCTAGGGGCGGGTCAGGGAAGTAACACAACCCGATGACCGGCGTGAAGTGATAGTGTTATACTCATTCGTTGCATGTGTTGAGTGAGGTAGCAGGGGCCCACTCTATGAAAAGGTGGCAACGCAACTGCAACCGTAAGGGTGTTGCGAATGTCCATGGCATTATCACTTAACATCAGGTGAACCAAGTCGCTTGCCACCTTCGCACATAAAAAAAGAGCTGAAGCGACGATAGAATGGCAGAGACTGCATTTTGTAGATACTTTTTGATTCTCAAATTGTACCAACATTAACAAAAACCAGTCGATATCACCAAATCCTCTAACCGAACGCGTATCAAATAATAAAAAAAATAAACGAAGCAATAAAACATTTTATAATATTATGTGCCATTAAAAACTTTATTAATCAACATCAAAATCGAATTACACTGGCAACATTATAAGGCAATGCTTCCTGCGTTAGGTGTTTAGTTTTTTGTACTAATCGCCGCAAATAAAAATGCGAATTTACAGTTAAATGCTAAAAGTATGGCGCGTAATTGAAGTTTGCAACAGAAGAGACAACCTGAATTATGCTTGCCTTATTCGTTATTAACCGTCAATACTAATGTCGTCGGCTGATTTGACACGCTAATCTAATTTATTGATTTATTATCATGTCTATGTGAACGGACATAATGCTATAAGAAGCCTAAATGTGCCGGTAGATGCTTACTGCTACTAGTTACTAGTTAGCTGCATATTTATTTTTTTATTTATTTATTTAAGCTTTTACACAAAAAAAATTACATTGTGTATAGGCGGACTTCATGCCTAAGGCATTCTCTCCCAGTCAACCTATGTGCGACGCAGAGACATATGTTACCTTACTAATATTTTGTAATATTTTAAGTGACGACCAAATCAAATCGTTGAAATTATTATAATTATTTGAAAATGGTATATTTTATCACAAGAGCCTTAAAAGCCCCCCTTCATGGATTAACATATAATTTTTTTTTTAATGTAAAATAGATACTTTTAATATCTTTTAATTTTCTTTCAGCCCGCATAAGACTCATTTTTCTTTTTTTATGTAAGAAGATGGCAGAGAAGAGATCTTAGAGATCTTGAGAAGAAGCCTTCTTTTAATAAAGAAGGCCCCGGTTACCTCACTCACCAGACGAAACTCAGAAGTACAAAACTTTCACTTCGCACCGCTTGAGGTCGTGGTAGTTCCCCGGACGGACCTGCCCACACATGCAACAGCGAAGACTATTACGTGGCCCTACCACAGTTAGCAAAGAACCCAGAATTGTAAACGTTAAGTAAACTCTCGTAAGTTCTTGACCTCGAACAATCCCAAGTTCTAACTTGTTATTGAGTAATTTTATTGTATAAAAACTGTAAAAGCTTTACTAAGGGTATAAAAACTGTAAAAGCTGCACTTAGGCCTTTTCACTTTTACCGTTAGGTGAATAAATGTCTCATTTTATTTGTATTATGATAGATGTCTCTACCGAAACAAACGCTTCGCATAATTTAGTAATGCGTCAGTTAATAGCGTACTCCTAGCATTGTGACTCCCACTCGTATGTCAAGGATGCCGTGAATCATTTAGGAAGTTTAGGTAGGTGCGCGGTGAGGTCTAAGTGATTTTTCACAGACGATTGCGCATGCTATATTTGGAACAGGCACTTGACAGAGTTCGGAGTGTTGGCGAAACCGTATCATTGGACGTGACATTTATTATTAAGTTCGTTTGTAGAGTGAAATTAGAAACATACAAGTCTTATGTATCTACATTACCACTCGTTTAGTCTCACAAAATGACAATAGGTTCGCTCACGAACAAACAGAGGTAAAAAAATAATAAAACAGTTAAGACTTAACTGTTTTATAATTTTACAATGTTTTTCTTATACTTAGTATGCCTGATATGAAACGAAAAAAATTGTAACCCATCACTAGATTCGAGACCCATTCTCCTATTTTTAATTAACTTCTTATCGTTAAGAGACATACTCAGTAATTGACGGTATAGTCCTGGTTCCTAATGATTTATTTATTCCGATGCACGCAGTTGGATCTTTTAGTATCTTGAAGGCTTAATGCATGGGTGTACTTGGATTTGGTTTAAAAAAAATTGGATCATGAGCTTGTTGTACAGTTTAACCATCTTTATTGAAATTAGGATGTTTTTGAAACCATGCTTCTTTTGTCTGTTTTGAAAAACTTAAAATTTAAAATTTGCGATAGCAACATCAAAAGCATGGCGTATCGATCATACGATGGATCACACGCCACACTATTTCAGTTTTATTTTCAGGCTTCAGAACCGTATTCTTCTTCGCAAGCTGCTTCAGTTTCACCAACATTTTATTTGTAGCACAGAAGCAA